CCAGCACCGGCGCCGGCGTCCGGTTCCGCGCAGTGAGCGACCGACTGCCGCCGAAGCTGCAAGGGCAGCAGCGCAGGACGGCCTTCCGCAAATGGACAGCGGCCGAGGACTCGTTGTCACCTTATCGGTGGTTTTCAAAGCCCTGACGCTGCTACTCTTGCATTCGGGAGCACAGCCCTCAAGTCCCAGAGGCCCTGGAACTAACTGACTGGGGCGTGGGTTGCAAGGCGATCGCAGAGGGCGCCAGGTTGTACGCTTTAGATCTGTGCGCTTCGCCATAGGCAAGTGTCGCCTCCGTTGAAAAAATCGTGCCAACATTAAATGCCTCGTGGAAGGAAGCCGCTGTTCTGAGGTGGGGATTCATCTGGCTTCTGTTTAAACAGTCCACAAGTAAACAGGCTGTTGGTACTCCAGAAGAAGGAGGTTGGTGGAATCTTCAAAGTGGATAAGATTCCCTAAAATGCGGAGTGGGACTGGGGGGAAGGTCAGGTCCGCCGAGACCAGTCTTGTGTGATGAAACCAAACAGGTAGAAAGAAGAAAATAAGATGGACACTTTGGAACTGAAAATGGGCACCAGTAGTTTAATTTTAGGTTAACAGACACTTTGCATTTTTCATATTTAGGGTCTTTTGGATAAAAATAGCAAAAAACATTTTTTTTTAATCCGAGTTTTCGATCCCTCACCTGGAGTGCTTTACCCTGTCTGGGTGAGAATGTGTTTAGAGTTCCCGTGTGAGTCGCTGCTCTGACTTGGCTGCAGGCACGTTGGCAGGAGGACGGAGGCTCTGCAGGCAGTCGTGGGAGGATGAGCTGGTGGCGTGTGCCCCCCGGGGCAACGTCTGTATTTGGGCGATGTAAATCCCAGCGTGGGTGGCCGGCTCTGGGTGTTTCGAGCACTGTGTGTCCCCCTAGCACAGAATTGAGTCCTGGGTCATGTAGTTGGCTGGTGGTGCATATCTGCAAGTCCCGTGGTGCCAGCCTTGATGCCTGTGTGGGAAGTGCCACCGTGGCAGGGCTCTGTGTAGACGCCTGGGAAATACCCCATGGGGCCAGGAGATTGGGCCGTCCACAGACTTTGTCTTCTGGGTGGTTGGCACGAGGCCCCTGCCAGAGCGTGAGACGTGGGCCAGATTGACTTGCTCGGGAAGAGCCCGCGGCTTAGTGGCGGAGGCCCGTCTGCCGGCCGAGAACGGGAGGCGTTCACCTGTCCCAAGGGCCTGGCAGAGTTAGGACGGCCGTGCCGGGTGGACTCGGCGCCTTCTCTAGGAGAAGCCCCTGGCAAGAGCAGAGCGGGAGGCAAGTGGGCAAGTCGGGGATGTGCCATCGCAGTGTCTGGCAGCCGCATCATTTAAAAAGAGTTTTGGTTTTGGATTTTTTGTTTGGTCTTAGTAATTTTGGTGCTTTCTGAAACATTAACATCTTATCGAAGGATAATGTGCACGCAGAAAAGTCCACACGTTTTAGGTGGGCTCTTGATGAATTTTCATAAAGTGAACAAACAGGTAACTAGTTCCCAAATTAAGGAGCGCAGCCTCGCCGGGACCCCTGCGGTTGCTGGCTCCCCCGCAAAGGGCCCACCGCTGGCACCCAGACCTTGGTGTCCGCTTTTCTTCACGTGACTGGAATCACATCGTGTGTTCATTTTCACGTCCGGCCAGTGGTCCATTGTATGGTGTACACAGTCCGTTCATCCTCCCACTTTGCCGGGCACAGCCGTGTTTCCTGTTTGGAGCTCCGTGGACGCGCATGCGCGGGCTCAGAGTCTGGATCTGCGACTCTGAGGTATTTTTACCTTTGAGTAAAGAGCTGTGTCGTAGGATGTGTGTACGTTCAGCTCTAGTGGATGCTAGTAGGACATTTGGGTTGTTTCTTCAGTTTTTGGATTACAGATAAACCTGCTATAAACATCGGCATTCAGGTTTTTGCATGAACACGTGTTTTCATTTCTCTTGGGTAAATACCTAGGAATGCAATTGCTAGGTCAGATGGTAAGTGTCTGTTTAACTTACAAGAAAGGCGTAAATGTCATTTTTAATCTCTTCCTTCCAGAATGTGTTTACCGCTCCTAGCTGTTGATCCAAGTGGCTAGAAAGTGGTACACTTTAGGGGGTGTGCAGAGCGTGAGGGAGACACCATTTAGCTGTTCATCAAGACTCTCGGAGGGGCGGGGAAGGAGACCGTCCTTGGTGCTCTCAGGATCACCCGCAGATCTGTGTCGCTGGACAAAGCGAGTGGCCCCGACGTCCCGGGAAGTGGTCCCTTCTGGGGTGGGGGCGGGGGGCAGGGGAGTGGAGGGGCCCTTGGAAGCCACGGTCGGCCAGTGTGTGACGAACAGACGGTGGGGCTGTGTGTCTTCGTCAGCGTCCCTTTTCCTCTCATCCCTCAGTGTGGCATCGTCCTGGGGGCCCTGCTCTTGGTTTTCTGCTCTTGGATGACGCACCAGTCCTGCATGTTCTTGGTGAAATCCGCCAGCCTGAGCAAACGGAGAACCTACGCCGGCCTGGGTGAGCGCCTTGGGAAGCGCGGTGTCCTGGGTGGGGGGCGGGCCTTGCTCCTTTGTTCACGTTCCTTCCACTGTATTCAGAAAGAGCTCCTTGAACAGCAATTTTTTCCTTCTTTTAAAATTTAGTGCAATTTTTGACAACCGTTACTGTAGTCACACGCTTCAAACTTGAGGTGCCACGAAGGAGTCTGTGGCGAAGGCTCCCCGCCCCGCCCTGTTCTCCCGTCTCCCCTTTGAGCAGATAGGCACGGAGAGGCCCCTCCACACCCAGCAGAAGCTGCAGCTCCAGCTCCCCGCCGTGTGGGACGCTCAGCGCCTGCCTTTCCGCGGCCCAGAGCCTTCCTCCTCCCTCCCCGCGCTGCCCCGCAGGGCCTCGCTCCGCCTCCCGCACTCCAGAGGCCATGGAGGACACTGTCCCTGGGCAGGCCTGTGGCCGGGATCGTCACTCGTCTGCCCAGCGGTGTTCTGTCCCCTGATGCTATAGGGTGCAGCCTCACTTAGTTTCCCTCCTTCCTTCGATGTCGGCTGAGCTGCACTTTCCGCTCCCGTTCAGCCTGGACTATTTGCCGGGTGGCCCGGCTCCGGGGCCCCCGCTTTCCCGCCGCCCTCGGCTGCCGTGCGAAGGCCGCGCTCTCTCTGCAGAACTTCTGGGCCCTGCCTTCCGTCCGTGGGACGCGCGCCATGGGTGTTGAAATGCCGACACGTGTGGCTCAGGAGCTGGCCGGTGTGTGTGTGGCCTCCGGATGAAAGTCCTTGACCCCCCAGACGGCGTGTGGCCGGGCCACTGGGTCCCCCCGAGGAGGCCCGCCTTGGCCCTCGTCTCACAGCTGTCGCAGGGGAGAGGGGGTGGGGAGGGGGGTGGTGTGCAGAGTTCAGGGGCCAAATGAAACAGACGTCTGCGCGCCCCACGTGCGGGCTCTCGGCAGCGCGGCTTCTCAGTCCTTCCAGCTCGCCCGCTTTGCGTTGGCTCCGAGACACTCGCGTTTATCCTGACCTCAGCTCCGAAGGGCGCTCCCTTCCTCTGGTGAGAATGGTGCCGTCAGGTCGTCGTTGTTGGAGTCACCTCAGGAAGTGAAAGTTACCGGCCACGCTTGACCCACGGTGACCCCTAATTTAGCTGGAGATGAAGTGTGCATCATGGCGGCCCCTTACTCCATCTGCAGGGCCAGGCTCTTGGGGCGACCCTTCTCTCGCCACTGAGGGTCTCTGTACAGCGGGGTTCCCGTGGCTGATGCCCATGACGTGCTGGGCTGTGCCGGAAGGGGCAGGTGACCTTGCGCTGGGGAGGCTGACTGTCATTCTTAGAAAGTCCCTGAGCAGGCAGACTGCTTTGGCTAGATGTGAAAGCCTGAAAGACGGTTGCCCTTGGACACCCTTCCACGTGGCTGGGGCCCCTACCTTTAACTGCTGGGGTGACTGCCGCCCGAGGCTGACTGCTAGAAGCAGAAAGGTAACGGAACCCAGCGGTCTCCCGATATGTCTGTGGTTCCAAACAAGATGGCTTCCGCAGAGTGCCCCCTGTCAGACAGCCTGGGTCAGCAGATCCCCTGTGCCGTGTTGTCCGCTGGGTCCTCAGGCATCGGGCAGCTGCAAGGGCGAGGAAGAGGACAGATGGCCTCCGTCTAGACCCGGGGACAGTGCTGGG